GTGATACTGTGGATACTGTGATACTGTGGATACTGTGATACTGTGGATACTGTGGATACCGTGATACTGTGGATACTGTGATACTGTGGATACTGGGCGACGAGCAACACAAACTTACCTCAGGAATCCCAGGATGCCGAGGCGATACTGAATAATAACCATCACTATGTTTTCATACGCAGCCAAAGGAGCGCCGTCGTACTGAGAAGCTGCACCCATTGACAGACCTCCTCCGTGGATCCACACCATCACCTGACACACAAGACAGCAGCCTGCTGGTCACAGCTCTCCACACAGGAAGTACAGTAGGACTACAAACATCTGTAATGCATCGCCTTCATCCTGATGCATTGCAAATAAAAGACTACACAGGCAGGCCCATTATAAACTGAGATGAATATGTTGTACTGTACTGTTTGGAGTCTCTTAAGGCGTGTCCATTAAACACTGCAAGCTACATGAGAGCGCTGTATGCATGTTGAAGTGTAATAGATGAAATATTTGGAACTGTCAGCTGAAGAGTAAGAGATGAAAGCTATTGAACAGACAGTTAAGGAACAGTTGAGACTTCTATCAACTACAAAGCACTAAAAGTAGATGAAGTGTCATTTGGTATCGAAGCACTGAACATCGTCTACATCTCAGTTAGTGCAAGAGCTAACAGCAAATGAAGTGTCATTTAAAGACAAAGTGATAAGAGCATTATAAATGTCAGTGGGGACGTAACACTGAAAGCAATGAAGGACATTTGAAGCACTGGAAGGAGTTTAAGTCAGTTAAAGTGCAATCAATGAAATGAAGTGTAAGCACTGAAAGATGATAACTGCTGAGATCATATCATCATATGTAGATAAACAGACTATGGACATGTGTTAAAGGAGACATATCATGCTCATTTTCAGGTTCATACTTGTACTTTGGGTTTCCACTAAAACATGTTTACATGTTTTCTTTTTAAAAAACACATCATGTTTCTCATACGGACTGTCTGAATATACCTGTATTCACGCTTTGTCTGAAACGCTCTGTTTTAGCGCCTGTCTCTTTAAGCCTAACCCTGAAAAAGCCCAGTCTGCTCTGATTGGTCAGCATTTCAGGCGTTCCAAAACTGAGCAGTCGCCATCTTCACAGCGCCACTGCTGTCGGTGACTCACTGCGTCGACTGGAGCGGCGCAGCGCTATCACCGGTGACCGTATAGTTGTGACATCACAACGTTACGCTTGTTTAATGGCACAGTGTCTGAATACAGGCTGTACCTGCTTTATATTCAAAAAACAGATGGAAATCTCACTTTTTACAGTGTGGGACCTTCAATAAACAGAAGCGGGATCATATCTGTACATCAACACAGCAAGCTAACTAGCCGTCCATGCTGAGATAAGAAATCACCCTCTATCGACTGTGATTACATGAACACATTAATAAACAGTTGACACACTTCAACAGTTCTGTACTCGGGATAAAGACGGGGAGACAACGGTAACACCAACATCCTGCTCTAGAGTCCAGTCCAGTCCAACAGCATCATAAGTTACCTCCTCCCTTCATGTTTATGGATTACATTCACACTGAGAGGAGACTCTGTTGTTTTGTCCATGCTTACATATACACGCCTACATATACACGCTGTCTGTTTAACCCACCGGCACTTTGTCCCCTTCCGTTGCCTCAGCTGGAGTGTATACGTTGAGATACAGACAGTCCTCTGAGAGCTCTGGTGGGGTATATTGCATCGACATGGTCCTAGAAACACTCACAATTAGTTCTGGATCTTGGATGCACCTGAAATAGAAAGAGAGAGAAGTGAGTGTCATCCAGAGAGAAAGTAAAGTTACTCAAAATGATGATTTAGTGGTCGCCCAGTCTTACATGGGAGGCTGGTGAGTGCAGTCTCTCTCCCCCTCCCAGGGCTCTGTATCCTGGGGAGCAGCCAAGCGGAGGGGCCCTACGGGGGGGCGGGAAAACGGGAGCCCCAGGTATTGCTTCACCCTCCTCTCCGTGCCTTTCACCGTCACGTATTGCCCTCTGATTCGCCCATTTTTCAGAGCGACCACAGGGTCAACGCTCCCTGCTGAAGATACAAGTCATACCTTTGTTGTACGTAATGGACAGACATTTCCCAAATCATGCTGTGCTTGCTAACCCTCAAACAGAGAGTTGTATGATATATTAGGGACATTTTTTTTGTTATTTTTTTTGCATTTTCCTACAAAATTCCAGCAACACGAGCAATCAGTGTGCCTGCACAAGCCTCTGCAGTATTAAGGCAACAAAAACCAAGATTGCGGTTTGGGTTAAAAAAGATATGGAGATGGCGTAACAAATAAGTCAGCATCAGAGCTAGAGTAACTACAGGAGTGATGTTACTTAAGTGTGACAGTTACCTGACTGATAAATCCACATTTGGGTTCAAATAAGTACAAAGAGGTGTTACTTATATTACTTATGTGATGTTACTTATGTACGGAGGTTACGTGAAAAATAAATCCACGTTGACTTCTGGTTTTACTCGGGACACAAACAGTGGTCACCTGATGAGAGTTCTGTGTTTCTAGACCCACCCCTCCACCCAAACCTCCTCCACCCAAACCTCCTCCCTCTGGACTAAAGTGATACAACACGCATGTAGGTGATTATAAAAACAACAACAACAACAACAACAACAACCGAACAAAACTGCAGTGTCAATTCAGGGATTACTTGTTGGGTTTGGAAATCCCTTCATCCAGTTATTGTTTTAGAAAAGCCTTTCAAAAAACCAACTCGCATACACTGATCCAGTTACAACGAGGCTGTTAGTGTCAGCTGACAATGTGAACATGGTTCCATTTAGCCAAATGTCAATATTGTCATTCTTCTTCTCTGTTATTTATTTATGTCTATAGATTATTTGTTACACTTCTTGGGCTGATAGGATATTAGAACAGTAGTACAATGAAGCTGAGCATTAGTCATAGTGAGCAGTGCATCAGAATGTCCCGTCCTAATACGAGGTAGAACAAAGTGTTGTCTTACCTGGGGTAGACTGTGCCGTCGCTGTGAGCACAGGAAGGAGACAAACAACCAGCAGAGCCGTCCTCATGCTGACCGGGCTCCAGGAAAACACAGAGAACTGCAGTGTGCTTTCAGAGACAAAGCCCTCTGCTCCTGTACTGGCCCATAGTACCACCCCCCCACACACACACACACACACACACGCACACACGCACATGCACACACACACACACACGCACACGCACACGCACACGCGCACACGCACATGCACACACACACACACACACACACGCACACACGCACATGCACACACA